ATGTAGCTACCATTGTATTCCTGCTGGACAGTGCTGGTCTAGAAGGGTAAATAACACTGATTATTCATGGGGAGTGTGACTGGGAAGAAATTTTGAAGGGGAGGGTAGAGAATAGGGACTTTCACCTTTCAGCTAAATACTACCATATTTTTCAAAAAGCATTTAATTAAAAGTTTTAAACACCATAGTAGGAATCCAAGCAGATTCTGTAGTGTAGTGAATAGTATTGTGTGAATGTTAATGTCTTAGTTTTGACAAATATACTGTGGTTATATAAAGTGTTAACATCAGAGGAAATTGGTGAATACAGGAACTCTCAGTACTATTTTTGCAGTTTTTCTGTAAATCTCAGATTATTTCAAAATGAAAGTTAAAAAGCAATAATAAGGGAAACAAGCAGTCCAACAAGATGTGTGTCTTCCATTCAGATAGTGCTTCTTACTCAGTCTCAACATACTGTAAGGCAGTTGGCTCCACATTGGCTGCCCCACCCAAAGTGCCCCTTGTGAACACATTTGCTTGAAATAGAGCAATTAGGATAGCTAACTCCCATATTGCTTAATTTTTACCTGAAATTCTAGCAGTTCAGACAACTTTCTCCTACCATGATTAAGAGCTATTTGGCTGCCACTGATATAAGAGGAATTTTTATTGGAGTGGGAGGGTTGCTGGAGAGAATAATGAAAGATCCCCCTCCTCTGAGAAGCTTCCTGGGGGCAGCTGGCAGGTTTTCATGCTCCATCACGGCTGGATCCCCAGAGCAATCCTCAGATTTAACCAACACTAAGGTCAAGAGATTTTTGATAAGATCTAGTGGTGAACTTTGGGATAAAGAAATTCATCAAAAATCTATATTACAGTATATTATATATGTTATAATATATAATCTATTTGTTAATAGTATAACAAAACTGTGTGAAACACAATCTACATTTAAACATTGTTACTTTTTACTTGCATGTTTTCTGAATAAAAACTAAATTCAGCATGCAATTGAGAAGTAATGGCAAGTAAAACTGGGGGTAATTAAATTAAAAATAGATTAGATATAGATCTATAGGTATATGGATATTTCAGAGCTGACCAAAAGAAGGTAAACACTACTGGAGTATAAAATATTTCTATTTTATGTGAACTAGATTTAAAATGAATGAAAAAGTACAAATACAAATTGTAGCAATTACAAAGGACAACATAATCAACTTTACCATGGAGCAGTTTGCAAGTTTAGAACATAAAGCTATAATGAAATGTTTACTTTTTGAAAGGTGACCTACCCACAAAAGAAAAAAGATATCGAGGATCTGGATTCCTGAAACTAACACTTCTGACTCCTACTGCTCCTTTGCACCGGTTTTCCACCGGTGCAATTGGTGGAAATTGAGATAATTGGCTAAAATTTGAGCCATCCTTAAGGCTGAGAACCTTTTCACCAAACGGTCCAGATGTTCCTCTCTTTTCCCTACTTCCCAACCATGTCCCAGAAAAGGATGACAGAAAATCTTAAAAATTACAGCTCTAGGGCATCTCTACCTATCTCTAGAAAGTTTCAGACTTTTTCCATAGGAATCTGGAGACAAAATTAATTTGTGTTCAGTTTAATTCTTTGAATTTAAATGTAAATGAGAATTAAATCTAAATGGAAATAGGCATAAGGCGACACCCAAAGACCAATTAATGAGGGGTTGACCCACTCGGAATTTCTGCCTTAGGAATTCCAAATCTAGAAAAAGGGATGAGCAGATAAAACCAGGTAAGACCTTACTTTTTCAGTCTAAAAAGATCAGGGAACCTCCTGTTGTCCTGTGGGTCCCCTATGGCAAAGCTCTTCAAGAAAAATCCTACAGAACTTCTAAGAGCAAACCACACATTCAATCTTAACTTACTACACCGTTTTTAATTAAGTTACTATCATCATCTCCTGGGCCTTCTGCAGAGGCTTTGTAGATTACTGTTCCCCATTCTGCCATCTTCTCCATTCTCAGTAATTGAGAATGGGTCCTACCCTGAAAAACAGGTTCCAGTTCTGGCTTCCTGCCTTACTCTACTGCTGGCCTTGACCTTGAACTTAACTTATCCTAGTCTTCATTTCTTTCCAAGGGGAAAGTGGACAAGAAAACATTGCTATAATGTGCTTAAATCTAATTTTTTTTTATTACAAAAGAAAATAGAGAAAATAATTCAAACAATTACAGAAGCACATAAAAGTAAAAAGTCTGTCTCATGACCATGTGTCCCTGTGAGATAACCATATTAATTTGGGTATATTCTTCCATATATTTTTTAAGGCAAAAGAAAAAACCAGCATCAACTATATATACTATTCTAGAATTTTTTTTCTTTCAACTTAACAATATAGTTTTTTCCTCTGAAAAGTAACATAAGTTCCACGAGAGAAGGGATTTTTGTCTGCTTTGTTCATTGCTGTATTTCTAGGGACCAGAACAGTGTCTGACACAAAGTAAGTGCCAATAAATGTTCACTGAATGAATGAATGGAATGAATCTGCCTTCCTGTCAGACCAACTAGAAGTTCCATGGACCAGGGATTTTTCTATTTGGTTTCTCTCTCTAGTCTCAGCACCAGAGTACCTGGCACAAGGTAAGCACTTCATAAATACTCGTTAAATTATCAAAATAGCTCAATGATGAAACCACCTAAAATTATTTTCAACTGCACCAGTGTGTTGACATGTCACAATAGTCAACTATTCCCCTCCAATGGAAAGACCTCTGACAAACACCATTGCAATGATCATCTTTGTATACATGCCCTTGTTGAAAAGTTTTTGTAGCATAGCAATATCTTCATGGGAATCACTGATCTGGTTCAAACATATTCTGAAGTCTTTTCCCTCTAGAATTTCATGACTTTAAAACACTTACAATTAATTTTCCAGCTTATATGAGAGCTGCTGCCTATAATTTTGAAAATGACTTCCCTTACGTATCTCCCTGTAGAAAGCTAGAGCTTCCCAAAGCTGTTTAGATGCAGCCCAAACACTTTAATTCACATGAGACTGCTGGAAAGACTTCTAGAAAGAAATGGGCTGCCTACCACCCTCAGTGACCAACATCTGCATACAGCACTGCAGTAGTTGAGTTATCACCTGGACAGGCAGATTTCAGGATGCGACAGGACCATACTTTTTGGCTGACTCTTTGTGTGCTGCAGATGGCTCAGCAGAAAAGGGAAAACAGACAAGAAACTAACAGACTTCCAAGGGCCTGAGCTTATAGATGATGCTGGAAACAAAGGCCACTTTGGTCTAGGAAAGAGCAGATATGGGAGCCCAGGAGGATGTGTGAGTTCTCCAAGAAGTAGTTACAGAGCTCTGTCTGAGCTCTCCAGTGAAAAAGTCTTTGCAGAATGCTACCTTTCCACTTAATTTTTTCACTCCAAAGATACTTAGTAAATCTCTATTATATGTGTCAGTGATGTGCCAGGCACCGGGGAAGCGACAAATAAGCAAGACCGATCCCACCATGACCGTATTGGACTTGACACTTCAGGACAATTGTCTTTCCATCAGGGGATCTGATGCTGATACATAGATTGCTGGAGCTCTTTGCCTTTTTCCACCAGGAAACAGAATTTGTGTCCCAGTCACTGCTTCTTCTTCTGTGAAAAACACAGCGCCAGTTCTCTCCATGAATGGAGAAGTTGGTCAGAGATATTTCCTTTTGAGTGCACCCCAAGCATAACTCAGCAACACGCACTGAGCACACTTCCTTTTTCTCCGGGAGCATCTGCCACACCACAGGCCTTGCTGGACTGCTTTCTTAACTGGCAAAGGAGAGCTGTACAGTGGCACTTACTGTTGGAGAGTCAATATTCAAAGAACCATTAACTCTTGAGACTCAGGGGGAACCTTCAAGACCATTTAGTTCTACTCCAACAGTTTATTCACTTTTGATGGGACACAGATTCTCTTTGAAAATCAGGGGCCCCTTTAGACTTTCTGTGCCAAAAAAGACATGCACATATCTCAGCACATAATTTTCCCTATATCTTCAGAAGCTTTGTGGATACATCATGTGATAATTTCCTAGTATTCCAGAACCCCCCTATTAAGAATTCTCAGTCTATAAAGCCCACTTGAGCTCTAACACCTTGATTAGCAGTCTCTTAGCTGTGTAGCCTGTTGGCAGGAATACAAAGGTAATATGCCTAAGTGCAGTGCAGGTCACAATTCAGTCCCACTGTGAGCCCATTATCTTCAGAAAATGGAAAACCTCTGCTCAGTGGCCATGAACAGAGTCTCTAAAATCAGCTGATAAATTTTATAGTTTTCAACGAAGACAATACCAAGTATTGGTAGCTGAACCTTTCAAACAATATGGCTTCTCTCTCACTTACCAACTTTACATTTCCCTGTATGGCCCCAGAAGATGACTGGTTAGCCAGAGACGGGTAAGATTCCTCAAGGGAGGAACAACCTAAGACAGGCACAGTCGCAGGGGGGCCATCAGGTGAGAATTTGGGGATCAACAGAGGTGAGGCTCAGAACCTCACCCCCCCTGCTTTGAGAGAAATCTTCTGCATCCGTGGATGTCTTGCTGCCCTTGTCTAGCCTGGATTAATACTTAGTCCATAGGCACACACCTGATCATCTGATCATCTACATTTGCCCTCTTACAGCACTAAACTATGTTTTCTACCTTTATCTTGCATCTACCTACCACTTCAGCATTTTATTAAAAATAAAAATAATAATAATAATAAAGGGAGAAATGTGGGATCAACATATAAATCAAGTACAAAAATCAAACGAATATTCATATTTGACCTGATTGTTTATAGGTCATAATGCGTGATCAAAACCGAAAGTTTCTGTGATGAATGCCCTTGTACTGTTCACCATGTAAGAATTTATTCACTATGTAAGAATTCGTTCACCATGTAAGAACTTGTTCGTTATGCTTCAGAAGATTGGAGACTGACGAGAATTAGACTTGAGATGGATTAATGATTGTACATTGAGCATTGACCCCCCTATACTGAATTTTATTGTTGTTAACAACCATTTGATCAATAAATATGAGAGATGCCCCCTCAAAAAAAAAAAAAAAAAATGAAGTAGCTGGATGTACTGGTGTTGATGGGTGACAGCCAGAGGCTGTCAGGCGTGCTGCCCATTGCTGATGTAGTAGTAATAGTCATATGGATCTTCCATTTTGTACATGTTCTCCTCGATGATATAGATGTTTTCCTCTGAGCGCATTCCCTCCACTACCGTACTGACTAACCCTGAGGGAGGGAGGTCTGTCGAAGTGGTGAGGCTGTGGAAGTAAAATGTTGCAGTTGAGGTAAGCATTTCCTGGGCAGCACAGAATAAAGAGAATAGGTTTTGCTGAAGAGATGGCAACCAAATGCGGTACATGATCCTTGATCAGGTCCTGACTAGGGGGGAAAAACCATAAAATAGCAACAAGATAATCTAGGGAACAACTGAGGAAATTTGAATTAATCTTAATTTTCTTCAGTATAAAATGGCATTGTGTTATAGGGAATCACAGACTGAAGTGTTTGGGTGAAGTGTCAAAATGTCTGAAATGTCCTTACAAATGCTTCAGAAAAACACTGCCTATACTCATAGAGAAACACAAAGTAAGCATGTCAACATTTTAACTTAGGTGTTTAGGTAAAGAGTTCTATTGTTCTTTATACTGCTATTTCCATTCTTCTGTGGGATTGAACAATTTTAAAAAGAAAAAGAAATCCATATGCTATGAATCCTATCAGATTTGAGTTTGAATTCTGTCTCTAATGCTCACCAGCCATTTGACCTTATATAAACTGTTTTTCTTTTCATTCATTCATTCAAGAAATATTTAGTGTTTTATACACAGTTCTGTGTAGCAGGAAATACAGAAGTGAACAAAATATGAAAATGCCATGGAAGTTCCATTGAGTAAATTTTGTGTCTCAGAAGGGATCCTCTGAAAATGGAAATAATATGTACTCTACCTTAAAGGGCTGCTCTAAGGAGTGTATTCATTCAATCATCAAATATATATTAAGTGTCCACTGAGCATCAGGTACTGCATTGGGGATACAGTTAATGTGACAGACAACTTCCTAATTTTCTATGAAGTTTACATTTATAGGTAGAAATGAACATTAACCAAGTAATTTCACAAATAATGGTTTCAGCTCTAAAAAAGAATAGTGGCACAGATGATCTAAAACCATTGATAATTACATATTTTATTTGGCTTCATTTGACTTCTTTACTGCAGACTATTTTGTCTTCATAAAACACTGTCTATACTTCCTCTAAAATTGTTAGTGGTTTAGATACTATTCAATGGACAGAGTCATTTTTTTTCCTAAATTTATTGCATTCTACCTATGTACCAAACATCACCAAAGTCTAGTAAAAGTTATGTAAACTATGTGTATTTGGCATGGGGGTGTGTGCATGTGTGTGTTTATATATACATACATGGTCAGTAATGGAGACAAACTGCAGTATAACAGACCAGTGGTTCTGAGCCCTGTTTGCATATTAGAGTCTCCTAGAAAGTCTTTAGAAAAATACCTATGCATAGGCCTCATTGCCAAGGATTCTGCGTTACTGCTCTGCTGTTGGCCCCAGCGTGTTTAAGTGCCCTAGATGAAGCTAACAGGCAATCAGAGTTAAGAATGCTTGGGCCGAGCTGTAAAAGCCCTGACAGTAGATTCTGGATTTCTTGCTAATTTCTGTAACCCAATGCCCAGCCCGGAGACTGGAGGCAGTAGGTGCTCAATCAACGAAGGCTCACTTTATTGCAAAAAAAGCATTAATAGAGAAACAAGCATTTCTCATCAATGAGGAGGTAAATTCTATACCGTAACTTTAGGCATCAGGATGTAAACAGAGCAGTGTGCTTAATTTGCATTTCATAAATCTAAGGCAAAAAGGATGTATAAGTTTAAGTCCCAAAGTCCCAGTTCTAAGAGTAAAGTCTCCAAGATTCCCGCCTTCCCCAACCCCACCCATTAGTTGTACCTTAAATTCTGTCGCTTCTCTGTGTTAGGAGAATACCCTAGGTAAAAGGTGGAAGAAAAGTCAGTTAAAGATGCTTTCATAAGATAAATAAAATGGACTCATTGGGGGCAGGCATTGGTTAGGGAAATCTGGTCTCCCTTGTATTTAATTAAATCAAACAACCAATGTATGTTTTGGTTTATTACGTGGATTATGCTAGAAGTAATAAAGATGTATTTTTTGCATTCAACAAACTAGCAGAGCATTTATTCTGGGTCTGGTAGTATGCTAGGCACTGGGGATGCAACAGTGAACTGTGAGCCCTGACTCAACCAAGCTTGTTCTAGTGAGGGAGGCATGTGAATGATGACGATGACGATGATGTGAAATAAAGGAAACCAACAATGTGCTGAAACAGATAATAGAGAAGGTGGTTGGGAAAGAACTCTTAGAAAAGGTAAGTTCTGAAAGAAGAGAATGAGTCAGCCAAGTGAAGATACAGGAGGGGGAGCATTCAGGCAAAAAGAACCCCTGGGAAATACCCTGGTGGGTGCCTGAAACTGAAAACATGGCTGGAATAAGAGAGTGGGCCAAGAAAAGGTCTGAGAGGTAGGCTGGGGCTAGATCCTACAGGACCTTTTAAGCCATAATCAAGAGTTTGGATTCTATTCTAAGAGCTGTACAAAATAACTGATGGCCAGAAATATGATCTGTTTGGGCTTTAAGATCACCCTAGCTGCTATGTAAAGAATGGATTAAATGGAGGCATAAAAAAAAATGAGGAGGTAAGTAGAGATTACATTGCCTCAGAGTAAAGTGGTGACCAAGAGAGATGCAATAGTGAATGGATTTTAGATGTATTTTGGAGAAAAACTGCAGGAATTGAAATTAAATTTTGTGTAAGAGTGAGGAAAGAGAGGATTCAAGGATGGCTTCTGGCTTTCTGGCCTAAGCAACCAGATGGATGGCAGTGAAACACTATGATGGGGAGACCAGGGAAGGGGAAGGGAGGATGTAGCCTCTAGAGCTCCATTCTGGACATGTGAAATGTGGAAGACAGAAAAGTGGGGTTATCAATTGGACGAACTCTGAGAGTAGGAGAGAGAGAAATTAATGATGACATTTAAATTTATGGAAATATAGGCTATCATGTAGAAGTTACCTATGGAGGGAAAAGACCGGCTCTGAGGAATCTTAATATCTAAAGATCAAGCAGAAGAAGAAGAGAGAACAAAAGTGACTGAAAAGGGATGGCCAATGAAGTTGGAGAGTGGTGTTTCAAAAGCCAAGAGAAGGAAGACTTTCTAGAATGAGTGAAAATAAATTTGGTAAATATTGCTAAAAGACTGACTACGATGAAGACAGAGGTGTCCGTTGGTATTTAGCCAAATGGAGATCACTGGTGACCTTGACTACAACTATTTCTATGGTGCTTCAGGGGTAGAAGCCCCTGGCAGGTTGAAGAGTTCAGGGGAGTGAGAAGTAGGATCGACTCACCTGAGAAATACTACTGTGAAAGAGGGCAGAGAACTGGGGGGAGCTGGACTGTGTGAACTGGAGCATATTTTTGTGCTAATGAAAATAGTATAAGTAGAAAGGGAGAGATAGATGAGTCTAGAGAAAGGCATAAAAGGAGGAATGAAGTTTTGGCTAAGGCAAAAAGATACTTTGATACTTATCGATTGAGTGAGAAATGAAGGAGGTTTGAGTGGCAGTGAGGTATGGCTGCTCATCTTAAGAGAGTGCACTAGAGACAGGATTGCTGGGCATTATTGAGGGTCAGTGTATGGCTTTCTCGTTATGACTTAAAAACCTGTCACCTTGGTCGTAAGATTTTTCTCTAGCAAATTCTAGAGAAAAGATTGCAAATTGAACAGGACTTTCCCATCTGTTCTCCTAAGTAAGCATGTTTTGGGACTAATATTATATGCATGCACAAAGCATCAGACTTCTCTGTTCCTTATTACCCCTTTACACAAACTAGAATGGTCCCTAATCTCCAGGCCTTGGCAGAACTCAAAAAGATAATATTATCATTGCTCCTTATCAACCCATAGACTTCATATTCATGTGATTAATTTGCAAACTTCACCACTACCTCTTGGTAAACCTAGATAAGTGTAGGTGGGGTAATTTCTTTTTCTAAACCATCAATTTACCAATAATGGCAGACTAACACAGTGGTAAGGAACAGGAAGCTCTGGTTTCAAATCCTGTATCTATCAATTAACTGTGAGGCTTGGGGCAAGTTACACAATCTTTCAGCACACTGGTTCTCCATTTGGTAAATTAGAATAATATTAGGACCTTTCTCAAAATATGGTAATTATGAGGATTTATAGACTTAAAACATGCAGCAGCTTTAAGCCCCACAGTGAGGGTGACAACTCATCCCAGTTTTCCCTGGACTGTCCCAGTTTTCATATTGGAAATTTCACATCTTAGGAACCCTTCTGTCCTGGGCAAATCTGGGACAGCTGGTCACCCTACATGCAGTCAGTGTTTGTGTATTAGTAAGAAAGGTTGCTAGAATGTACTAGGCCCTGGGGTAGAAGGCCTCGGCCTCTGCCTGCAAACACAAGGGGATATACCCCAGTTATAAAATGTGTGCACTTATGGAGTGATGCAGTGCTTGCTTCTTGTTGTGATGATGGTTTCCCAGGTGTAATTATCTACTGAGTTCATCAAGTTGAACATGCTTTATATATGCAATTTATCATATAGAAGTCATACTTTAATAAAGCTTTAAAAAAATAATGTTAAGTAACTTCAAAAAAAATATGTTTACTGATTGCCATGATGGAGGAAAACGGCAATGTGCAATGCTGGCCTCGAGCTACTCCTCCCCAAAGACCTTGCCTGAGAAACAAATGAGATAGAAAAACACACAGAAGGAAATGATTTTCATTGCTGTGCTTCCCAATAAACCTAGACATACTCATGAATTGAAGAGGTTTGTTCTTAACAAAGGTAAGAGCATAGGGTACTGGTAAGCAAATTGCCTGCCTGGATTTGAATTCCAGCTCTGCCACTTAGTGAATTCTGAAACCTAGAGGAAGCAGCTTACTCTCAGCTTTACTCTTCTCTGCTATAAAATGGGGATAACAACACTACTTCCCTTATAAGATGGTGATGATAAGACGTGATAAGATGTGTGTAAAACATTTAATACAATGCCTGCCTATTACATGGTGATTTTTAAAATAAAAATTAGCTGTTATTTTCAAGGTGTGGAAGGACAAAAGGGTATTTAGTCTAATAACCTTTAGGTATAAACATAAACTTACATTTCTATCTAGATTTGTATTGGTTCCTGTATCAACAGTTCCTTATCAGAGGGAGGAAGAAGCAGTATCAACCAACTTACGTTTGAGAATTAAGGCACCAAAGATAAGAGCCAGTGCCAGCCCAGCAGAGATCCCTGCTCCGATGTAGATACCGATTCTGGTGATTGCGCCAGAGTCTTGTAACTCAATAGCCAATGTGGGTGTTTGCTATGAAAACACAAACAGAATTGCAGCAAATGGCCAGAAATCAGTCGTGTGCTCAGCCAGTTTCATCGCTTACACATCAGACCATACCTTTACAGCAACACGGAAACACAAGGACTTGGATCTACTCATGAACTGTCCCCTTCTAGACAGGCCTCCCTCAAACCACCCAAAAAAGGGGATTAAGCAAGGGAATAAAATGTGCCCTTTTGCACTGTGGGTGGAGAAGAAACTCTTAGTAAATGGACTCCCCTCTCCACAAAACAAAAAACAGGCTCTAGAGTGGAATCCTGTTCATTCAGGATCCCCTGGTGTTCCAGGGAGTTTCAGTGTGGACATTCAGCAAGGACATTGCAGCTAGACAGTCTAGGGTTCAAATCCCAGCTCTGTCACCAACAGCTGAGTAATCTTGTAGAGTTATTGGGAAAATTAAATGACAAAAAATATAAAATGCTTACATAAATTTGATATGTCTTTTTAATAACTGACAGTCACACAGAAAATCCTTTTGCTTCTAAATTCCATGTTTCCCCTTTAAAAACAATAAATAGCAAACATTATAAAACAAAGAAGTCAAGGAAATTAAATCTTCCACTTATTCAATAAACATTTACCGAGGGTATGTTATATACAAGGTATTGTGCATCAAGCATTATGGATGCACAAAGGTACTTACAAGACAATCCTTGACTGCAGAGGGGAAGGGCAAACACAAAATGCTGAGCCTTGCTCATGAACACACAAGCAGGAGACTGAGGCAAATGGATACGACTCCTGAGCACATCCTCAAAGAATTTTTTAGTCGCTCCTCTAAGCTTGATTTCTAGTGGTTTTTCCCTTTTACTCTAAGAATGTGGGGAACACTAAAGTACGGTTAACTGAAATATTGTTATATTTATAATTATATACATATGAATTCATGGCTTAGACTATTCCTGACTGATGTCCTGTCCTACATAAAGGAAATAAATGTAAACAAACAGTCTTTCTCATTAGCATTTCAATGGAAGCAAGAAGAAACATATTCTGGGGAGGTGCAGGGTTTCTGAACCCTCCACTGTGGAATACAGTTGTGCAATTTGAGAAGAAGGACAAAATGCTGTGAAAAAGAAACAGGCCCAACATGCTGTCCCTTCTGCTAGGCCAAGTCACCAAGCCAGAGCTTACTACCTAAACTTAATTACAGTTTCAGCCTCCCTCAGAAATGCAGGCAGTCAGGAATTTTCTGGTCAGCACATTGATAAAATAATCTGTCACATGAGCTTCCTCCATCTTCCCTAACAGATGAAGTAATCTGCATTTTATAATCTGCAATTTATAAACCCCCTGTTCTTCCCCCCTAAAAGAAAGTGACCTGCAATACCTTCTTTTGCTAATTTAGTATACCCCCCACCCCACCCTACCCCACTCCCCAGCCTATGAAAACTTTCCATTTTGTACAATTCCTGGAAGCATCTTTCTACTTGCTCGACGGGATGCTGTCCTACTCATGAATCACTTAATAAAGCCAAGTGGATCTTCAAATTTACTTTGATGAATTTTGCTTCTTAACAATACTAATGATTCTTGTTCTGGGTTTTACAGCCCTGACTAGGTGCCGGGCACTTTACGTGCATCACCTCCTCTGTCCTTACAACAGGCCTATGCAGTTAGAACTGTCGTTATCAACATGTTACAGCCAAGTAATCTGAAGCTGAGGGAGACTCGGGCATTTTTCCCCAGGAAAAGAGTGGACAGGAGGGAAAGCTAAGACCATACTTTCTTTTCTCTGAGTTAAGCATGAAGTTAGCTTATGTGCACACAAAAAGTTACTTACTGTTTGACTTTTATCATGGACAGTCTCTGGTGTCTGGGTGTCTGCCACAAAGAAGAAAAATAGCCAACAGAACAGTTAAGAATGTTTTCCTATATATGAATTTTTAAAAAATTAGATGTCTACAGTCCTATTTGAAATTAATTCTACTCCATTCTTTTCACAGTAATTAACTGGGAGACCAACATAATTTACTGGGCACTTACAAATCAACTTTAGGATGACATTTGTTCACACAGGTAATGAACCCAACGGTTACAACAGGCCACAACTGGCCGATAGCTAGAGGTGAGCCAAGAGCAGGTGGGGGAGGACTACTGGAAAAAGCGCAGGAGAGGCTCTTGCTAAAGGTCATCTGGGCCCCTCAGCAACAACTCCTGGCTTTGCAGTTGGCAGATCCTGAATTGCCACAATGTGCCCAGACATGCGCAGGTAACAGGAAAACGGCGGAATTTGACTGCTATATGACCTTCCACTGAGAGTGCCTGACAGGTATGGGCAAATTAACCAAAATAGGCATGGACATAACATCAAACTCACGGCACATGCAGCACCCGCCCAAATACTGGCAAGGAGCGGGACTTGTGGTGGCTAACAACAGCTCCACCTTAAGGAGGGACAGGGGAGGATGATAGACAAGAATAAGGAGGATCAAAATGGCATAAATGCCCTTAACTTGTAACCAAACGAGGCACAAGAGTTGCCCGCTTGGCCCTTCCAAGTGTACTTTCACTTTAACCTAATACACTCCTTGCTATCTGGTCTCTCTACTGAATTCTTTCCTTTGAGACAAGGACCAAGAAAACACAACTGCACTCAACTAGTAATACAACTATTTATATTTATATTCTATGAAACAGAGACCTATGCCAGGAAGACCTATGTGGAGTGTATGGTTTATTGGGTCCACAGGACCCCAAACAGTTCTGCAAAATTCCAAAACACTGATAATACTCTGGCAGGCATTATATATAACTAGACTTCTAAAGATAACAAAAAGTTTTCTTGAAAAAGTTTAACATCTACCCATTACGAGGAAAACTGCATATTTCATTGCCTAAAAATAAAAATAATGGCTATAGCTACAATTTATCATGAGCAGGCATTATGCTACATGAAGCATCTCATTTAGCATTCAAAACTACTATACTAAAGTAGGGACTATAAGCTCCATTATACAGATGAAGAAACTGAGAATTAGGAGGTTCAGTGACTTAGCCAAGGTCACACAGCTTAATGAATGACAGAAACTGCCTTCCAAATTTAGGTCTGCATGGCTTGAAGCATACTTTCAACTATGCTACCTTAAACAGCATTTACCTCAGCATTGTCACTATTAAACATGTCACATTGTCCAGCTGACAGCTAGCCTTCTTTCCCTTTCATTCACTTATTTACTCATCTGCCTATCATTCAGTGAACATGTGCTACATCCCTACTATATGCCAGCTATAGGGGACAGAGCAGTGAACAAGATGGGCACAGGCCCTGACCTATGGCTGCTGCATTCCAAAAATCAATAGATTATCAGCTTTGGGAAAATTAAGTAGGCCTACTCATTTTTCTGGCTGAGTCAGAGACTCTGAAACTTCTTAGATGTCATGGTCATTTTCTGGAAGCCTAAACCCCTTAATGTAAGACCCCTGGTTTAATAGACTATGATTTTGATATTATAAAAGCATATTCTCAGCCCAAAATTATTTTTTTTTAAAAAGTGAAGTAAAGAGATAATGTTCCACTTACCTTTGCTCTTAGTACCCCAAAAGAAATTTAAAGTATAAAAACCACATTGCTGGAACTGCTAAGTAAACATGAATCTTAACCACACATAATATTTTCTAATGTAAATCCAGTTTCTGCTTCCCTACTATTATTTTTCTCGGTCTAAATGGTAAGACTGTATGACTTTTTTTTTTAACTTCATTTTACAGTGAAAATGATGGATCAGATAGAGGCTGTTCAGTCATCACAGCTTATTTTGACATAGATAGCTATCAACCAAGTGAGTGGGACAGCTGGAAGAAGTTGCAATGTTTTTCTGAGGAAGCCCAAGATTAGGCCAGGTTGGAGGCAGCAGAGGGTGTGGGACATGAGTGACTTCAAAGTATATAAATTTAATAGTTGCCACCTACTATGTATTATGTGCCAATCAGTGCTTAGTGCTTTCCATGCACATTATCTTTTTTTATTTTTTTTTATTAAGGTATCATTGATATACAATCTTATGAAAGTTTCACATGAGCGACACTGTGGTTACTACATTCGTACATTATCTGTTGGTCTTTACAATAGGTAGATACTATTATTTTCCCATTTTTCAGATGACAAAACTGACCCTCAGAGAGGTACTCTGCCCAAAACTACACATCAATTAATTAGCAAATCAGGTTCAAACCACGTCTACTTCAAGAGCTGAGGATTCACCCATGACCCAGTTCTGCCTCCTTCCAGTGGAAGAGAGATCACATTTGTTTTGTGCTCAAGGTGGGTTTAGGATCTTCCAAGATCCTTGCAAACATACTGAATGTGCCTATATTCCACATTAAAGAGAAGGTATGTATAACTACATACAAGTTGACTTGCAGACAACTAATTGACATAATGTTACAGATTATACACATGCCATTAAATATTCATTAATCTTTTCATTTTATTTGCTGTTTTGGAGCTGTTGCCTTCTTCTGTTTGACTATGTTCTGAGGCCTTTGAAAAGCTTAGAGATAAAAACTATAGGTAAGGAGACATATGTTTCTGGTACAGACAACCCTAAGGAAATGCACTGCCTCGTGAAGAAGTGACCTCCCAGCCAGGAAATGAGTGCCCACTTGGTGGTGATGTAAAGAGCTTTGGATCACAGGATAGGAAAATGGAACTAAATGATCGCTGCAGTCCTTCTAGGTGTATGGTCATAGGATTCTTTATAATAATAGCACACGATAAATATATTGTACAACCTAATTGGTCCCCATTGTTGGGTATCATCTGTTCCTATCATACTAAATTTCCTCACTATTTGTATAAGAAATGATGGCTACCAATCAATAAAGAACCACCAGGATTAAATCTTTAGAGAGCTGAGGTTAATAACTGTAATAACAACTAATATCTGAGTGCTTTCTGCAGGCCAGTTACTATGCCGAGCACCAGGCATACATTATCACATTCCATCCTTACAACAATGGTATGAACTTGAGTACCTGAATTAACCCTCATTGTAGAGGTAAGGAAATAGAGCCTCGCAGAGTCTGAGCAACTTTTCTGAGTTAATAAAGCAAGTATGAAGAGCTGACATTGGAAGCCATTCTATCTTCCACTGAAATATTTAACCACAATGTCATTCTGCCTTCAGATCTTACCGAAAAGATAAGTCATAATAACCAACACGTATTGAGTATATACTTTGATAGGATACTGGGGTAAATACTTAAAGATACAATTTCTTGTTTAAATCTCACAAGGTGGGATTTAGGAGATTTCTGAGATTAAGATATAAGATTTACTATCCTTAGCCTCATTTTGCAGAATGGAAGACTTAGCTCCTGAGAGTTTAGAAGAGACTAGGATACCCATAGGAAATATTTAAGATTAACCTCCCTGAAGACTGTGACCTGAGGTCTGCTCTTTTGACCCTATATTCTCTTCCAGAGCAGCACGGAAAAGTCTTTGCTGAATTACTTGATGGAGCAGCTCCTTCTGAGTTTGGAATCTGAGGAAGCTGGTGGGCTTTATTCCAGTTAAAATGGATCCTTGAAATCACCTGATTCAACCCCAAACATGGACTGGGCCCAATTCATGACTAAACACCAGTCTGGGAGTAAATCAGAAAATGAAAAGGACAACATGATGAGTTTTTTATTAGATTAAATTTATGTAATTTAAAAGAGTATCCTTTTTCTACACAATGATAGTAATAGGATAAATTTTTCTTTCCCTATTTGACAAAATATATAGATTACCAGAATTCATTTTTGTAGGGGTCAGGAATCTTATTGGGTGAAGCTACTCCTTGGATAGAAGAGGAAGCTGATATCCAGAGAAGTGAAAGGCTTTAACCCAGGTCACAGGGCTACTTTTGAATAATCCAGAATCCTAGTCTTGGGCTCCTTTCTTCCGGAATAGATTTGTCTCCACCAGCTCCCTCATTTGGGTGCATGGAAACATTCATGCCTCCACCTTTTAACTGTTTTTCCATCTTTTTCTCATATTCAAAATCCTCTGAACTCAGAAACCGACCAAAGGCTTCCTCTGACACCCCACGTATGATTACCTGAGCCATGTTCCTTGCTGGTGAACATCTCTGAAAAGGCTGTAGTATAGTCTCTCCATGGAGTCTGGGCAGGGGTGGCCTTGGCTAATGTCAGAAACAAACAGAAGCATAAAGCTTCTCTGAGAACAGAGAGCTTATTTCAGGGGATCAAAGGGGTAGCAGAAAAAATATGAAACACAAGAAATGAAGAGAAACACACACTCAGTCTCCGAGCCTACCTGGATCCCTTCGCTGAGAGTGTGTGACAATGTTGACAGAGATGTGTGACAGTCATCAGTCATAGTCTAATTAATAGAACTAACAGCCATGCAAATGGCCACACTAAATGCTTTCATAAAACATCTCATAAAATCTTTCCGATGGCCTACATGTAGGTATTATATTTTATAGAGGAAGTCACTGAGTCTAAATAACTTGCCCAAGATTATACAGCTAATAAGAGACAGAGTTGGATTTGAACTCAGCTGCAAAGTACATGCTCTATAAATCTTGAAACATAAAAGCATGTGCACCCCCATGCCTTACACACAGTCCAGGGTTCTCAATCTTGGCTGCACGTGGGAGAGAATTACCTGGGGTAGACTATAAAATCCCAGTGCTCGGCTCTACCTCCAGAGGCGCTGATCTGTAGGGGTTAACAGGCTTCCCAGGTGATTCTAATAAGCAGCCATTTTCCCAAAGCCACTGATCCAGGCCTTTCCTTTCATTTTGTAGAGCCTATCAACAAATTTCTAAATTTAATTAGGAATTAAATTCAATTAAAATAGTTGGAGGTATTGCTGGTAGGCCCTGTTAAACTTTAGGTCCTAGGGGCCCACCCCCAGGGCTGCAACTGGGGAGGTCAGAAGTGAGACCATTCAGTAGATTTAATATTATGTTCAGGTGATTCTTATTCATAAATAAGGCATGCAAAGGTCCACTCACCTGGTTTGATGACCAACTCCAGGTATGATTTTTTATCATTCATCAAGCCTGGGAATTGGATTCGACAGCAATAGATCCCACTGTCAGCAAAAGTCACATTCTTTATGGTCAAGGACACATCTCCTTCATGGAAATTCCCCTTTAGCTGGTATCTGCTAGATAGCTGCTTTTTTAAGCTTCTTCCATTAGTGCTGATCAACATACCGTAACATTCAAACACAGGACAGTGTCCCTTGCCCCAGCACACAGGCACAAGATTCTCAGGGGCAGCTGGAGAGCAACTGCAGGGCAGATCAGCATTCTGACCCACCTCAACTATGTACACCCCTTCCAAAGACCCTGAATAAGAAGGAAAAGAGAGCAAGATGCAGGCAATGAGTGAGGCTGGTCCATTTTTGGAAAACTCCAAGTAATGCCTTGTAGAATAAAAAGGAAACCAAGCTGTCCTGTTTGGAGGATGGTTCGCTATGAGAGTGATTCTCAGACTTTAAGGGCATCAGAATCACTGGGAAGCCTTGTTAAAATACCAATAGCTAGACTCAGCTGCTAGCATTCCTGATCCAACAGGTCTGGAAGGGCGGGGCAGGCTAAAAAGCTGCATTTCTGGTTAGTTTGCAGACATTATTGCTGTGGCTGGTCTTGGAACCTTTCTGAAAAAACCAATGCCCAAAGAGAGAATTGTGCCCAGTCCTGTGAACACCAGAGGGCAATGCTGATGGAAACAGACAGTCAGAAAATGGGTCATTGTCAGCCAGGACATAGCTCACCCATCTGGGCTAGTTTGCTCAGCAATGAAGGGCAGTCAACCTAATACAAATCTCTCTCTTTTTTTAACCACTGGCATACAATGAATAAAAACTCTTGACTGAATAAGAAACTTGTGTATTTGAAACCACTCACAGGCTGTTTTGAGGTTTGAAATTAATTACCTTTTTAAAAATATATATAGGTACATGATAAAACATTCAAACAGCATAAAAGGTATATGAGAAATATGCTCCCTTTCCCTGCTTTTTCCCATTTCCCAGCTTCCCAGAATCTATACATTAAGAAGCATTTGTGTATTCCCATTCCCCTGAACACAAATAGAAGTCTAATATATGCATTGTTCTGCTCCTTGCTTTTTTGAATCAGCATGTGACTTAGAGTCATATCATTAGGTATAGTCATCTTCACTCTTTGCCTCATAGATATACCACGATTTATTTACCCACAGCCATGCTAGTGGACTTTTGCTCTAACAAACGCTGCACTGACCATCGTTGTATCTTCATCAGTCACTATCCAGTCGCAAAAGTCCATACCCAGACTTACTGGTAAGTGGTACCAGCAACAGCAGGACACAGTCAAAGGGAGAATGTGAAAACATGGGTGCTGAAGAAGAAAAGTCAAGCAATGGCTCTGTCTAGGTGCCGTTCTAATTCTCCAGTCGCACTGGGTATGTCCTGCAACTGTCTCTACTCCACAGTCACAGGATCAGGGGCCACTCTTCCCAACTACTCAACTACTGACCCAGGGCATCTGATTACCAATCACTCCTCTGTCACCACCAAGTCTACAGTCACATCAGAGGAAACCCCAGTTCACTGTCATGCTACCACACATCCTGTACACGTTCCGATACTTATCCTATTAGTGTCAACTAAGAGGAAGCAATACTCAGAGGAAGAAAAGCATCTCAATAAGTAGAGAGAGCCCTCTAATATCTCTGATGAAACAATCCTCAGCTTGAAATGGCTGGCATGTGTGTCCAGCTGGTTACCAGGAAACACAAGAAAGGAACATATCCACGCATTCATTCAGTCAACTAGTCAGTCATGTGACCAGGGTTAATGAAGCTCTGCTATGTGCCAGGTGCAGTACTAGGAGCTGGAGAATATGGAAATGAATGTATGTTCCTTATTCTCACATTTATCCACCCTCTCTACTACAATGATGAGCCTAATTCTTAGCCTTGTTCTAACACGAATTGAAATATATCATATAACCTTGCTGGATTTCAGTTTCTTCACTTACAAAATTTAGAAAATAAGGAAATTGTGTTAGGTGATATATGCCCAACTCCCTGCTCCAATATTCTGAGTGTGACCTGAACTTTCAAACCCTTCCTCTTAGGGAAGGTGCACTGGTTTCTGCAGTGCTTTCTTTCCCCAACTGTGGGGGGAACTAAGGGAGAATTTCATCTCATATACATAAGATAACCCCTCCTCCCACTGCAGGGGCTTCAGGCTTCAACCTCAGAAAGGGCTGAGTTCCAGCCACACTTTCCATCACTGCGATAGCATCTCAGACCCAACCACACTCTCAGCCTTGGAAGAGTGATTTGTCTGGAAACCTTAAAAGTTAATGGTTCTTTTAAAAAGGGAAATGAGCTCACAAACTGAATAGTTTCTGAAAACCTTGTGACCCTCCTCCATCTTTCCTTCCTGTATTTCATTGTCACTCACCTTTATGCCATTAAATGCATTTAATACACATATGCAGTTTATTCAGTGCATTTACTTCTACAGCATCCCAGAGCTGGCAGTTACTCATGAAATTATAGTCAATTTCTCTTTTTATAGATAAGGAAGCTGAGACCTGAAAAAGGTTGATTTACCCAAATGCATATGGGTCATTTCAAATGAGAATATGAGTCCTCTACCCTCCAGACTTTTTTTCACTATAAACTACATTTCATGAATGTCATATTTGCCCTTAGAATGTCTGCTCATATAACTAATAACAAACAGCAAATGCCCATATTCAAGTATAAATTAGAGTGGCTTAATCATTTTACTAACTGTGATCCCAGGCAACACTCTTAAGAGTTTCAGTCCTCAGATTTTGTTTTTTTATTGTTATTACTGTTTTCTGTCCACCTTTAGAATTACTATTAGAAGCAGCTTTGTAAAACATTAACAGTCTATTCATTGAAGTTTAGACATTGAAGGGGCCCAGAATATACTCTAACCTCCTTCTTTTCTGTGTGTAGGGGGTTGTTTCTGGCATTTTCATGTTCACTCAACTTTTATTGCTTTTTACAAAAGGTTGTTTAGGTAATACATCCAATGATTAAAATTTAAAGCAGTATGAAAGCTTATATTAAGAAGCCTTGATCTCACCGCCCCAAGTCTACCAATTTCCACCCACTGTATAGGTTTCCATTTTCCTAAGTCTCTTGTATACAATCCCAATGCAAACACAAGAAAATACATATTCTTATTTCTTCCTTTCTTAGACAAATAGTAGGCATATTTTGCATTTTGCCTTTTTTATTAACTGTTTGATATAAAAATCTTATCATATACAAAAGCTTAGAGAATAGATAAAAATTCCCAATACACAGATTCACAATTATCAAACTTTTATTTTAAAACCAACCCCAGACACCATGCTATTTCACTCTTAAAGACTTAGTGTGCATCTTCTTTTTGACAAACAGACCTTCTGCTACACAACCATGACACCATTACCACATGACAAAATTTATAATGATGCTAGCAACACCTAATTCTTTAACCCATAATCAAATTTCCCAAATTATCTCAAAGGTGTCATTTTATAATAGGTTTGTTTAAACCCAGACCCAAAAAATATTTCTCCATTGCATCTGTTTGTTATGTCTCCTAAATCTCTTTTAATCTAGAACAGTCTTCTGTCCCTTCCCCACTGCCACTGACGGGTGGTACAAACCACTTGTCCATCTTCTGGGTTTATCTGTTTCCTTGTGTTGTCATTTAAGTTATTCCTCTTTTCTTTGTGTTTCCTATAAATGAAACTTAACTCTAGTGGTTTGGTTACATTCAGATTCGACTTTTTTTGCCAATAAAGTTTCACAGCTGCTGCTGTGAGCTTCCATCACAATTGTCCGGTTGCTCCACATTTAGAGATGCTGAGATGGATCAGCTTGGACCTTTTTTAACTTAATATTCTGTCCTGAAGATCTCTCCATTTCAGCTCATATAGTATGTCCTCACTGCAGCTATAGAGATCTCATTGGGTGAAAACAACAAAAGTTATCATTCCCTGGAAATGGATACTTCCTGTCTGTTTATTTGTGAAGATATGAAGACCCATTGAGGGCTGATTCTTTAGTTACATGAAAAGGAAGTTTGTTTTTTAAAAGGAGACCTTGAATGTGGTTTTTGTTAAAGAAGTCTTCTGTATTCTGATTAATAAGCTTCTAAATTGTGCTTAGAAAGTTGTACCGTGAACTTCTTTAAGAGGCAGTTGTTGAGTGCTGGCTATAGTTACATAGAGGGATATTACATAAAACTACTGCATATGATACTACTGTAGAGATTAAGTTAGTGTTTTGCTTTCTTCCTTCATCAGCAGGAAAAGTGGCAGAAAATCTCAGACTCCACACACATAGCCTCCACACACTAAATGGAAACATTAGAATTACGTGTAATTAGAACTACACAATAGATAACTAAAGGGCCACTTAACAAAATTCATAAAATAGAAGCTAGCAAATTTTACCCAGGTCACAAGGCAGGGATACATGGGTGATACAAGTGGGACTATCTGGAAACACCCAGTCCAATTAGAATCTACCCTACACAATAAAGCAGGTGCAGAGGAATGCTCATTGGGGAGATAACTGTAATACCCACTAAATGTGGACTCCAATACATACTTGATTGGCAAAGAAAATCTGCTATTTAACCTAATCTCATTAGGTTCCATGTACCATTAGTCCCAAAATTTTGCAAAGGAAGACATTACGGATGGATATTAAGGTTAAGAGATTAAGTTAAGCAATTTTGAATTAGCTGTTCTGACTACCAGACTGAAGTTAGCTGTGTGACTTCCCTTTAATAGTCCTTGTGACCTTTTGTGTCCATACAGTACTTGAAAAAACCTTTATTTTATTGTATAAGTCATATTCACTGTAGGAAATTCTGAAAAACAGAATGAGTATAAAAATAAATTAAATAAAGGCTTTAATCTCAGTACCACGAAACACTCACAATCAATACAATGGATCGCCTTTCAGATTTTCCTATTTACCACTCTGTATATATACAAACGTGTTAATGTCAGTGTAACTCTGGGGAGAAAATATTTTCCCAACATGGAACAAAATACCCTTGAAACCAAAATAAGTCAAAGGGAGAAATAAAGTCGGAGAAACTCATTTATTGCTTACAAGCAGTCATCCACTTCTGCTTGCCCGTCTCTCGCGACCCAGCTGCAAAAAGGGGTCCCACGCAACCTCTCTGGTCCAGATATGCCATTGCTCATCCTTGTAATTACCTATTGATACGGAGATGGCCTACTTCTGTCCACCCCTTGGAAACACCTATTGACAAGGAGATGCACTAAGGCCAGGCGAGAGATTCTGGAAACATTGATGTTTTACCCACAGTTGATCTTGTGGGTGTATCACTGGGAGGTCTCGCTCGTAGACAGTTGTGAGCATCATGAACACAACAGAACCCAGGAGAAGGCACAAACATCTCCTTGTCCTCCCCCTTAAAGTGCCTGTCAGTTCCGAGACTCCAGCCCAGATGGAAGACTTTTTACTTTTATTTTTTGTGCTCTCACTGTTCACCTGCATCTGGTTGCTCTCAACCCTCCCACCGGTTCCCAGCCCTAAGGGTACCACTTCACTCCAGAGATCCTGGGCATACTTGGTGGGGACACCACGTCTTCCGGGGTCTTCAGAACAACACATTTACAAGGCAAATTTCTCATTGCTGACCACGTTTCAAAGGATCATCTTATGACAACCAACTCTTCTTTTCTTACCAAAGACTTGATTTATACTGCAGATGACAGAAAATCCAACTCAAATTCACTTCAACTTAAAAAGTTTATAAATTTCATTGGCTGACAGTATTGAAAAGTCCAGCTTTAGGCAAGACTTGAATCAATGGCCCCAGTGAGGTGACCGAGGACCCAGTTCCTATCTTGACTGTCTTGACCCGGTGTTGACTCCTTCCTCAGATTCTACATGGCACCGCTCTCCAGTACCTGCAGAGCACATATCCACATACCAACATCTCTTGGCTGCTCCCACACAAGTCCAGAGACTCACATCCCCTCAAAGGCTCAGATTGGGTCACAGGCTCATTCCTGAACAATCTGTGTCCACAGGGTCAAAAAGGACTGATTGGGTTGAGCCTGGGTCCCATCCCAAAACCTCATGTTCTGAAAATGAGAGAGGGCATTTCCCCCAAAGAAAAAGCGCAGTGTGTTTCAGGAGAAATGGATGCTGAGCAGCAAAAGCAAATGACCAGTACAGATGCCTTCCCAGAAAGTGATGGGGTGGAGAGATGGGGAAAGAAAAATCTGCCCCTTTAAATATGCATGGTTCTTCTTCTTACAAAAAAAAAAATTTAACTTACAAGGATATGCTCTTCACAACTCTGGGGAGATGATAAAGATCTCTTGGGTTTACAGAGTTTTGATATTTAGTAACAATGGATGGATGAATGCCAGACAGATTAACTTTGAGGTCACATTCAGACTGGTGAAGGGCCAGGTTAGAGCCCTCTCCAGTGCTCTTTGCTCCTCAGAACAGAAAACAGTGGCCCAGTGAGGACACATAC